TAGGGAAAAAGCTATAGGACCATTTGTGTTCATATTTTCAAAATAGATAGCCTTTTTTGGACAGGATAGTAATAATAACCAACATTGATATCAAGTTAATATTCCTGCACATTATCCAATAAAGCACAAATGAAAAGCAGTTAGAAAATCAAAGTCGAGGCACACTTCATAATACAGTTTTACGTAAACAATCAGCTAGTAGACCTACTGTATATGCATACAACACACAAATGATGTATTTATATCATTATTATGCATTTGGCTGCACTGGTGTTAAAGAGACATTTATGTAGTTTGAGGAAGCACATCTCTTACTGGAATAAACATTTTCCAAATGTGTAAGTGTAGTGCTTTCAAGCCTAGACAAAATGCACCCAAGGAGACTTTTTGTGGCTAAAACAAAAACCATTGTCATATCTAAGGCAAATAAATGTATTTGTGTTCAAACAACTCTCCCTTTGTTAGTCGTTATTAGGGAATTTGATGGATTTGTGATAATGACGACAACAAACAGGGTAGACGGCTTCTTCTGCGTGTCGACTGTTTTTCTTGTCTGATTACACGGCACACTTGATTTGTCTAATTTCAGGGATGAGCAGGACTGAGATGGTAGCACTGTGATTCAGGGGCTTGGTACCATCAATTCAATTCAATTAGTTTTAATTAGCTCAATGGAGAGAAAGAGGAAAAAGCAACAACCTCACAGGGTTCTCCAACAATTAAATGAATTACTCATGAGTGAAAGCTTATCAAATCAGCCAGCTTTATATGTAGGGGATATTAAATCAAGGCGCTGGAAGACATACGACTGAAATGAGTTAAATTGATATTTAAAAAGCATGAAATCTCTGGTGGTTATTTGATGATATTTGCTGTGTCATACACTCAGTCTGACATCTGTCTGCTATGAGATGTTTTCATTTATTTTTTAGATGTCCCTTTGAATGGAAAAATCTCTTTGCACCAAACAGCATTGGCTCACATTTGATTGAAGCGTATATCTAACAATGGCCGCAGAGACTGGCAGTTTTGTGAAAGGGGGGGCTCTGACACATGCCAGGAGAACCTCTGTATATCAGAAGACATTTTGTGGGAAGGGCATCTTAGTAAACAAACCTGCAATTCTCCATACTGACATCAAATAATATATTATAACAGTAGTTTCTTACCCTTTATGGATGGTAACTTGGCTGGTCTACGTGTCACAATTTGATTTGTCCCATGAGTTGCAAGCAGTTTCACCAACAGTGACTTCTCATTCTTTCTTTAAATTGTTTGTTGGAGTTTGGATCCTCAAGATGCTAAAACTATCCCAACACATTTGTTTTGTTTATGTTTCTTAAGAGAATATTGGATGTTATTTTTGTTCCTGCCTCACAGATATTTCATACAATGCTGATATGTTTTTACCTAAGCTTAGAATGTGTAAGATGACAAAAACTACATAGCCACCTTTCTTTCACCCTGTAAACTGCTCAATTTGTTTTATGTATTTAGATCCACGCATTGTGTTAAGGACCAAACAGTAAGGCAACAGGACACAAGAGTTGTTTAAAGAAACTGGGTTTTGTATTTACCCAAAACACCAAAAACATTACAAACCAAGAATCTCTAATAACAAGGCCTATAAAAGGGTCCAACAGAAAATGTGTCCAATAAATATAACGGCAACTTACCAGGTGTTATCTCAACAAACTGACCTGCTACAATGAGAAAACAAGGAAGATATATAGTGGCTTTTCCAAACCAAATAGAAAACAAAGGGCAATTTAGATGAACAGAATACAAAAGGACAAAGACAAATCCCAAATTCCCCTTTGACATGGAAGTATGTGGTTTGTCTCAATTTGTCCCAATTGGCTGCTGGCAGTATTTATCCGTCCTCAGCCCTCAGCCAGACCTTTTGCTGAACCAGGAACTAACCTCCCCCAGCCACCATGGTAACTCAAAGATGAAGAAAGTTAGTAATGCAAACAAATACTTGTGTTAGCTGTGCTAAAATGTGTGTGACACACACACACACACACACACACACACACACACACACACACACACACACACACACACACACACACACACACACACACACACACACACACACACACACACACACCACACCACACACACACACACACACACACACACACACACACACACACACACACACACAGAGTAATGTCAGGTTACAAGCAAATAAAGAGTTTAACATTTAAATCAAATGTGTGTTGTTAATTGTTGACATGTTTTACTGCAACTGAAATGAAGCAAAACTACTGGAGGTGAGGGTGCAGTGTATTTGTCTTACTCTGTGTGGCTGGCCATCACACATTACTATAATACTGTATATAATTATGTATTGTGCTGATACAAATCTGCAATTAAATAAAACAAGATAAAACGATATCATTTATTTAGTTATTTGCTTTAAAAAATGTGTCCAAATGGTCAAATATACATTTGGGCAAAGTTTCCCATAGTAACTAGTACATTTAATACTCAACTTAAACACATTAATGACTGACATACCTTAAAAAACAATATACAACACTACCATTACCACCTACCTTGCCCCATTATATTTTCTTAATTTGATATTCTGCCCTGAAAATGTAATTCTGAGAGGTGTCAATACTCTTTGACAGGCGGCCATTACAGCACGCAGCTCAATAGGGCTGTGATTGATGCCCTCCTCCAGATCCATTGATGTGATTTCTCTGTCGACACACTGCTCTGACGTGGACATACCTTTAAGGCAGAACAGGCTGATGGCTGGATGAATGGTGTGTACTGTAAAACACTCAAAGACACACCATTGATCCATGTGTCAATAGTGTTTGTGTGGTCAATGTTCCAAATGGTTAGTGATTGACGAGAACTGAGGCGTAAACTAGCCATTAACTCATTTTGATTTTGTTTAAAGGTCACCTATTATGCAAAATCCTCTTGTTCATGTCTTTTATACATCAACATGTGTCCCCTCTGTGGAAAGAGACTCTGAAAGTTTCAGGAAAGAAGATTCGCTCTCTTTTTGTCCTGATCCATTTCTATAAAAACCTGTCTGAAAATGAGCTGATCAGATTTTGGCCACTTTATGATGTCATAACGATTTGTTGGCTTGTGTAACCATTAGCCAATCAGAAACCAAGGAAACCCCCCCATCTTATCACCTGAATCTTCTCCTAGTATAATAGGGGACCTTTAACGTGTACATTTTTTTAAATATTTGTTGTATTTTTCGACTTATAACTGAAATCTTTGATTCTATGAAAGACCACACTACTCTTAGAAATATCCTGTGATTGAGGCTGAAATTAAGACTTTCACCATGACAATGTGTTGACATGATGGAGGACATGATGAGCGGACCCAGTTGTTCTCCCACTAAGGAAAGACGGAGCAACAGAGCACAGTGAGGCCAGGCTGGGCCTCTTGTCAACTTTGTCAGCCCAGTGTCTGATGAGGAGAGGGAATGAAGAGAAAGTGAGAGAGGGAGATAAATGTAGCTTCAGCTTCAAATGGCCTGGCCCTGACTTAAATGACCCTCTTCTCCGCCCAGATCAAATAGTCCCATTTGTGCAGGTGACATCTTGTTTTCAGCATGAGCAATGGCAGTGCAGCCTAGGGTAACAGGTGAGGGTGCAGCACTAAGGGAATGGCTTGGCTAGTCTTAACTGATCCCACTTGTTATCTGATGAAAAACACACAACATGTTTTCCATTATTGATTAGGGTCTTATTTACTCAGGGTGGAAATGTAATGCATTTAACTAACTGGCAGTGCTTTCTGGACTGGTAACAACTTTGAATTCAGTTGGCACAAGAAGAGATGCTATAAAGCTGTGGATATTCAGATTATCTAGAAAATCATTCTACTTGAACAGGTCCAACATTACCATACATTTGAATGCATTTTATATGGTTGAAATACTATGAATGTTTTGAGTAAAATATATGTGAATAGAATATAAGAGTGATACTTCGGTCCTATTATTACTTAGTATATTATTTGTTTACTATTACTTGTATCTTGAGACACTTAAATTGCTGTTAATATTATTATTGGTTATCATTCAGATACTTTTAAACTGTTAAATAAACCTTAACTCCATATTTCTTCTTCTTTATAATAGTCTTTATCAATCATTCATCGTTATGAGGGATATGTTTGTGTGTATCCAACTAAATGCACTGATGAGGAGCATGCCTTATTTGGAAGAACATTTATTTTTATGCTGTTTTTCTCCCTTTATGGTGATGAGCTCATGGACCCACTGTTTTGTCTACATAATTGCCTGTGGAAATGTTGGAGGGTGTGGGCAGTCATTAGCAAATAATAGCAGCAGTGCACCTGATGGTTATATCTGAAAGTTTGTGACTCATTAGTAATTGTTCAATTTTGCCAGACAGTGTAGTGTATATAATTAGGTTCACAGCTAGCTGAGGATAGGCTCTGCTTTCATCTGTGATATCATTATTTGAGGCAGCTGTGACCGTACTTCAGGCCATTATTTGTGTAATGTTATCTTTTATCTATGTTGTCGATATGGGACTGTATATCATTTATTTATTTAATTGCAATTGATTATACATGTTTTTCTTGAAATCCCTCGCTGGTTTATCAGGTTTACACACATTTTCTTCCACCAAACTATTTTTCACATCTCCGAAATATTGACACAGGAAAGTGGAGTATACTTTTCACAGCATTTCCAGGACCTCCCTCTCGCTTCCTCGCCCAGGGGGAAATAGCCTTCTCCAGCCGGAGTGGGGCGTGTCTCTGTGGGCGGCCTCCTCAGTGCGGTGCCACTGCTGATGCTGCTGTGTCTCTTCCAGTGGATGCAGGTGGAGATGCGTCAAATCCCCCAGAAACACATAGAAGCATCCGCCAAACAGAACCTCCACAATAAAAGCCACCGAATTACATACAAATGTAGCAGTTTTATTCTGAAAACGAATCTGAAGTCGCATGTTCTGCCTTGTGGTTGGTATTTCCAGCGGGGATGCAGGTGGAGCGAGTCGGCCAGGACTCACATCTGTCTTGAAGGAGAGAGGGGGTAAAGAAAACCTTCGATCTGGTCTCCTCTACGCTCTGGATAAAAAAAAAAAGAAACAAAGAAGCGTGAACTGCTACAGATTTATCCAGGGATCTTTACAAACCTCCCCAAGACTGGAGGATATTATCCTTGCAGGAATTGCTGCAAAACACAAGTAAGGACTTTTCTCTTCTTTTCTGAGACTACATATTTCTGTGGGGGGATTTCTCACTCTATACTAAAGCCGTGCACATGATGACAGGTGAAGTCAATGGAAAATGTCTTAGAATTAGACTTATCATATACCAATTATTAACAATTGTTGGCTTTGTTCCGCTGAGAGGAAGCCAGCAGCAAACGATGCGTAATGGGTCAATATTTGGAGGAGATTTGGGAAGCGAGTGGATTCGTGTTCTGCTGTTTGTTTTCTGCGGTTCTGGGAGCAGACACGTTGCATTCGGTGTGATGGACGTCTATGTTTTAAGCCACGCGTGACAGAGTGTGGCAATTCAGGAACAAACTATCACAGAGTGATCGCTGAAAGTCAGTTTTGCTGTAAAAATGTGGATTTATTTACGGAGACGACTTGACTTAGTTGTGAAAGGGTAATTATTCCAGCTTCCGACACTCGGGTATCGTTTTATTTCAACAGCTCCCGTTTAGATTTGTTTCTCCCAAAATTGTAGACACACAGTGTAGTCTGTTGATAATACAGTAGCCTACATGGTCTAATTTTCACACACACAGCATGCGTACTTGCACACGTAGCCTACTTCTCCTTGACTCCAAATCCCTGAATTAAAATGTTGCTGGATTGTAGAGTCGATCATGATTTTGCCAACATCGCCCTAGTTTATCATTAATTATGTACAACTAATGTATATTTTTGCTATAATAGAAGCTTTTTGATGCGGGGAATTAGGCCACCGGAGGGTATACTTTCTTTACTGGACAGCTGCTAATTGGGTGCTGGAGGGCAGCCTGTCTGGTCTGACCCTCTGTGGTGTTAATGCTCTCCGATAAGTGTTTATCTATAAGTTAATGTGAACAGCACGACGTGGTAAAATGCGTACAGTACAGTACGTATATATTTGGGGGCTTTATGGTGCGCCGAGTCCTGCTGCAACTGTATGCAGCGACTCCTGCGCCACCGTGTCGCCAAACGCCCACTGGGGCGCGTAACGGTGTCTCTACACAAAATCCCCGAACGAGAGGATATTTAACAACTACAAGCCGGTAGTTCACTGATTATGTGATACCAGCCGGGTTGTGGGTTTAGTTGTGCTAACAATAATTAAACAGATTGATGTAGGTAAGGTTAGTTCAGCGGCGCAGGGATGGGAGGAGAGGAGGAAAGCGGACACCACATAAGCGTCTGTGGAAACGCTGAGCTACTCTCCCTTTTTTATACAGAAGATGTGTTCAGTTTTTCAGAATAGATACGAGACTGCTCGCTTAATTTGTCATAAATATTTGCATTTTGATCACTAAAATCATTTATCATTCCTTCTTGATAGACAGTGTAAATGTCAGTAATTCACTTTTTTTTTTAATTCTTCTTAGATTTTCTCAAGTGTGCATTTTGATGAAAAGTCTCCCAGCTGCGAATGACTGCCATGAACGTATTGGTTGAAGAGGAACATATAAAACAGTATGGATTATTTGCTGAAGCACACACTGGAAAAGGTAGTGCTTATTGAGTTTTCTGTCCTCTTAATGCAAATCAAGCCCTGACTCATTTCCTTTGACATGCCAGAAATGTGTTTCCTCATAAAGCCAGGACACTGTTGGAAGACTCCACTGACACTTGAGCAATGGATCAAAACTACATTTTGTTGCCCAGTGGGTAAATTCATAGACATTTATCTGAAGAATTACATCACCAATATTACTTTTCCTGAGCACATCCGTTGTCATATCCAAATTAGCCAAAAATTACCAACTATCAGTCTGGTTTAGACAATGGCTCTGGAAATACCTAAGTAGCTTCTCCTCTTTATAATAATACAATAGGAGACAGAAAGTGGGCCCATACATGATGCCAGTTTTGTTCTCCAAGCTTTCAGTGTACTTCATGAAGGGTGCTTAACATTGCTTTTTTGGGTTGAGATGACTTATAATAATTGCAAATTCCCCTGCAATTTGAATAATTTCTCCAGACCTTTTCACTGTTCGCTAGCGGTGAGTGCAAGAAGTGGATTTGAGGTCCCGTGCTTCTCTTTGTGTTCGCTCATCCCTGTGACATTAGGCTCCTAACAACTTTTCCTGCATACTAAATCTCCAGCGTTTCAACTCAAATGCCATCATTTTGGGTCATCAGCATGCCATTTGAACACTGCGGAATAACAACACCTTTTCAAATGCATACTTTGAGGTGTTGTAAATGTTTGTTGTGCATTTCTGTATATTGAATCTGAAGAGGGACTGGATCGAATGATGGAGCTCGATTTATAAGATATTCAGTCTCATGCTGGGTATATTTAGGCCAAGCACAGCCTGTGAAGCAGCTGTCAGATTGCAAGCATCAGTCAGAAACTCTATCCTTTCGCAGGTCAGTGTTTTGAGCAGCTGTCATTTTCCCCTGACAGAGAGCCGAGACACTGTCTTCTATCTCACCTCTATCAAAACATTGGCCCTCACACCCTCCCCACGCCCCTCCCCGCCCCGTGGCACCCCTCCAGTTCACCGTCACAGAGACCGAGGGATTGAACATTGTAAGAGAAGAGAATCAGAATGGGTAATCTTCCTGTAATCCCTCGCAAGGAGGCAAAGAGAGCAATCGGCCTCATTAACTCACTCTTCTGCCGCTTGCCGTCTGGCCCTCATCCATCTTCCCGTCCAGCATCCACCCGCAGAGTGGGAGAGAAGAGAGGTTAAAGGAGCTTAGGGGACCTATAAGGAAGACAGACACTTTCCCTTGCATAAAAAAGAGGAAGGAATTTGATAGAAAGATTTCTCCCTACTCCTCCTAACTCCTTCCATTTTAGCTTGGGTGAACAAGACGTGCCCCGCCAGCTCTTTTGTCTTTCCCTTCAATCTCTCTTTTTTTCTTTTTATTAAGCAGTTGCTGCGTAGAGGTAGAACAGCCTATGATGGACAGCTGGATTGAAAGACCGCTTTTTGTGTCTGAGTGATTGCATGGAATGATGTGTGAGAGAAAGGAAAGGGGTGATGGAAAGATAGAGGGAAGGGATACAGTATGGCCCATCGATCTGATCGAGTTGCGCCCTTTCCTCCTGTGTGGCCTCACCGGTAGGATATCGTGTCTAGATTTGAACTAATATGAGTCATTCTAGCAGGATACTTATTATTGAGGATGTCAGTACATCTCCTGTCATTCTGTCGGCGCCAGAGAAAAAGGGCTCAACATTGATGCGTGATAGCAGCAGTTGGGTTCAATGCTCCCTGCACGGCTTTAAACAACTTGCCTTTGGTCTTTCTAATTGAGAAGTAGTTGAGAGACTTGAGTGTTGAAAACCCCTGGATTTTTGCCACATACTCTACTGTATTCCGCAAAGATTGGGTCATGAATTCATGGGAGCTCGCACGCACTTTTGAATCTTGGATGAGGGCTTTTTTCCTCTCTCAAACAGTTGAAAGTAATGGAATCCCAGCCTCCTTTTTAAAAATCAGAGTAACCCACAAAAAGCAGGCCAATGAATTAATGAAGATGTTCGCCGTGTGGTTAGATTTGAAATGTTTGCATTTCCATATTTTCAGCTCAGCTTGATATTCCTAAAGAGAATAAGGGAGTATCAATAATGGAGGGATAAAACAGGCATTTTGTAATGTGAGCATTTTATCTCTTTTTGGCCTCACCTCAAATATCATCTCCCTCGGGTGTCACCCAACTTCGACTTGGGAGGATTTTGGGCTGGAAAGTTTATCAGGACCGGTTTGTGTTTCAAGTGTGAGACATATCTCCTTAGCACCCGCCAGTGAGCTGTTTAACCCACATAACTCCAGCGCAACGGCAGCTGCTGTTACTCAGGTTTAAAAATATCACCCCAGACTCCCTACCTCCCCACTTGAAAGGGCACGTTCTGGACAAAGCAAGTTGACATTAACATTCTGTTGAGGATGATGTATCGTGTTCACCTGCAAGACCTGAAGTCCTTCCTCTCTGAGTTTGTTAGAAACAGTAGTGTTTTTTACAGACTTATTTGGATTTGTGTCATCATCCACACCAAGACTGTCTCCATCTTTGTCTGTCCAAAACACGGAGATAACAACAAAGTCGTAAATCGAGGTGGCGCTAATATCATCCGCAGGTGTCGGAAAGGTGTCAGGGACGTCTTCTGGAAAGAGTCACGTACTTCCTTCACGCCACTGTTGCTCTTTGCCCCATGAGGTATTCAGGAGACAACAAGTATGTGTCCTCTCATAAATATCGACAACCTGAAATGCCCTGCCTCCTCCTATCATTAGAAGAGGCAGCTGCAAGGTCATCCACAGTGCAGAGTCACACATAGTATCAGTGCATTAAAACAACCCATAAAAAGCAGACAACTTGTATTTTCTCCAACAGTATCCATTCTGGCATATGCTAACATGTGGTTAGCTGTGAAATGATTCTATTTCAAACTGGAGCAGGTTGCATAACATGGAATATGGGACAAAAAAAGCCAACATAAGAGTGTTATGCTCATAATTGAAGAGTGGGTGTTAGTTACTAATCCTTATACTGTGGGATATCACTCATCCAACACTATTTCTAGTTGTGCATAATCATACAATGTGTTTGCATAATACTTCCATATCTAGCTAAACAATAGCAGTTGCTAAGCGCTGGACTTGACCAGTGTCACTTACTTGTTTGGACAGAGCCATTTGCAATCAAATAAAAGCTAATCCCATGATAAGCCTTTTTGTCTCCAGAGGAATGTTTAATGGATTCTTTCTCTGGTCAACAAAGCATGTCATGAGATTATCCACCTGAAAAATAGAAAGCATTTTCAAAGATGTAGTAAATATAGAAAGTATAGAAAGCTCAGTCATCACTTTTGAATTGTGTTCCCTATTCTAACACAGCATATAAACTGTAGTTACAGCGTCATCAGCCCCACATGTAATGATTGTTTTGCCACTGTTTTTGTTTCTTTCTTTTAAACTCCTCTTCCAAACTCCTTCGCTGACTGAGCAAAGCTGTAAAATATTGCTCACTGTGTGGAACTC